TGAGGAAAACAGCAACCAATCACATTTTATAGTATGATTTAAAGAAACAGGTACAACATTGTTACATGGTTTATATATTGCCAACCAACCGTTAGATTATATTCCTAACAAGAAGCATGAAATTATCTTAGATTTATTAAAAGCATAGGCTACCTCTCTTTTATCAGTAATACTCCTAGGTAGTTTCAGTCCAGATTCTGAACATATTTTATTTGCTCTACATTGCTCTTTATGACAATTGCCTATATTTCAAATTAAAAAGTATGCCATTCACGTATTGCATTTTCAGATGCATTTAACCATGAATCATTCATTAGATGATGCTTAATTCTGTTGTAAGATCCAAATCTCACTCTTTGAGTGCTCCGTTTGGGTTGGACCTCCCCTCCTCTGGCCTGTTTATCTCTATCCACGTCTCCTTTTGGTGCTTTCCGCACTGGATTTTTTCCTTGTTGGTGACAATCCACCAGCCTTCCCCTCTCTTGCCACTGATTGAGAATTGCCAACGATAATCCGTACTTCCAAATACACTTGCAAGGATGGAGCCCTAGCTGAACAGAATGCTGTTGGGAGAGAAGACTTGTACTCAGAGATGAGTTGCTCATGGTTCGGTCCAGATCAGGCGAACTGGTAGTTGTGGCAGCAGGAGGCTCCGCCCAACCACCCAGATACTTCTGAGCATGTGCAGAACCATTCCGTTCACATGCAAGTGAACCAGTAGTAAAAATAATGGAAACCCACCACTGCTTGTACTTCTCCCCCCCACTTTATCCCTTAATCATTCTCAAGTAGCCTTTCTTTCTTCTCCTTAAGCTCTCCCTTTCTAGAGTAACCTTCTAGGCCAGGGGTGTAAAACTCAAAGCCTAGGGGCTGGATCCAGCCCATGGGGTACTTAAATCTGGCCCGCATGCAGCCCTCCTGAGCTCCATTTTCACTGGCAGAGGGTTGCAGGAGGCTGTGGCAGCCAAAAATGGGGCTCGGAAGCCAGTTTTTGCTGGCAAAGCACTCGGTCCACCACAGGCACCCCTGACAGGAGTGACATCAAGCTGGCCACACCCACTCTGGCCAACCTCACCCCAACCCAACAAGGTCAAACACAACCCTGATGCAGCCCTCAATGAGATCGAGTTTGATTCTCCTGTTCTAGACTAAACTTCTTCAGTCCCAGCTTTACAGTTCATTGTTATAGTTTTCTAATTTCTGAATATTTTTTATGCCAGCTCACCCTTTGGGACAATCAGCTTCCTTATCAAGACGTTTCCAATTCTATATTCTTTCACTGGCTCCAAGCTGTCCAACTTTTTGTCTGCAGCAACAGTTCATTTCCTCTTAATCTCATCTTCTATTTGCTTTTTCTAGAAATTCTTATTCCCATTTGATTCCAACTTCCTCCAATTGCAGCCCTTTTCAATTAGATAATATCATTCTCTACTAGTTTGCTCCAAATATTAAATTCACCGCATCATCCCAATTGTAAAATCATTGGTCAAGGGCACATTGAGACATACAAACCAGTACTCCTGGCAGTTAGGAGTGTCTGATATTAACCAATTTTGTTGTATACATGATGCACAATGACAATATATAATATATTATTATATTATATTCAAATGGTAATTTTCTTTATAGTATATTTTACTAGGGTTTCCAATAGACATTTGGTTCATCCCTTCGGAAATTCAACCTGATTTCGATTGGCCTTTGTTCCAATCCTGCATAAACAACTTGTATAATGGGATTGTATGATCCTAAACATTTTATTAAAGAAGGTATCAGAATCTGAAAATAATGCACTGTGTGACATTTATATTGTAATTTTAAAATGTTAGCTACCAAGGGTAAAAGGTGTTATTTCAAAGCAAATGTTCATCTGCCAATTACCAAAGTTTATAACTGAAACAAAGGGATGAAAAAAAAAGAATGAAACAAAAATAGCAGCAATTAGCTTATTAGCAGCTGGCTTAAGGTGAAAAGACATTTGGTCCTGGAAGTTATTCGTGTCTGCTTTGCTACCCCTGATTCAGCTACATGGAATGGTAATGGATGTGTTGCAGCAGATTGAGGTTTGTAATTTACTTACGAAAGACCAGGACTCGAGACCACGAAGGTGCGAGAGAAACAGGTTTATTTGATGCATCGAGTTCAGTGTGCTCACACACCAAAATCTGAACTGCCTGGGCTCCACCCAGGATGCTACTTTTATGCCGTGGTCCACACTGTGCATTCTCAAGGCGTTTCCATACACAAGACAAACATGACATTTCAAAAAGGAGAAGTTCACTTTGGAATAT